CATCAAGCCTGAGAATGTCCTTAATTATGACTTTATGAGACTGTTGGTCATTTGTCTTATGATGGTTTTACGCATTTTAAATTTCCTACTCTCGATTAATGATGATTTGGCATCGTCTTCTTTTTTGTTCTGTAGATATGCAATAGTTAGAGATATGACTTCTGCTGGTCTTGGTTTGAACAAATTTTGCTATGCGGGACTTATAATTGCACACAAGAATAGCTCAGCGCCCGCTGACGATACAACTTCCAAAGTAATCATCAAGTGCTTGTAGAATTTATTGAAGTTGGTTCTTTCGGTTGTTTTTGTATTGGCTGATTTTACAGATATATATGTCCTGAGCATTTTTTTTTGCCTTTCTATTTGTGCAAAAGATTGTCGAGCTTGTTGATCAGTCTAAAGGATGGTCCTCGGTTGATAAAACAAATGACACCGCTGAAAATGTTATGATGGGTATTTCTGAAGAAGAATTGTACAATCTCCCTACAGCTGAATATATTCATCGCCGTGGTGGATTCATAGCAAGATCGTTGACCGTCTTTCATGTTGCTTTTCATGCTTGTGCTGACCTTAGGAGTGTCCAGGTAACATGCTAGTACCCTAATGTATTCATTTACATCCTTCCTGCAGTTGTTTATTTAATTGGTTAGTATTCACTTTCATGGTTTGATATTATACAATATGTTGTGTTTGGACCTTTCAAAATTATAACTGCGTGCAAGAAAGTGATCTTTCAAAATATTGTTGTCTTAATTCTCACATTTGGATCTTACAATGCTTGTGTTGGCAGGCTACCGAAAGGCTTCTTGAGATGCTTGAGAAGGAAGGACGAACCCCTGATGTTTTCATTTTGGTGCAAGTTATGAGGTAATCTTATTCAACTTATCGCAAATGATATTTCACCTATCAACTTCCATAGTTATGTATGACTACCACCTTTTCTTTCTTGGTTTAGCGTCTTACATGAGTATGTGTAACATCCGACTCATATGCTGATGATATAATAACCAATTCACTCTTAAATTTGACGTACTCACAAATTATAAGAAGCTCCATTTTTTTATTTGTTTTGTATATTTCTATGATAAGAGTTCTTGCCATCATTTTATCCCTCAAAATGAACTCGTTAAGTTGGCTCTGTTCAGATATTGTCTTCGTATTATCTTTATATTTTCCATGAAATTCTAGATCTAAATGACACTACAGATATATTTCTTCTAATTTGAGGTGTTGTGTCATAAACTACTTCCACTTGTCCTATTTTGCTGTCATTGATCTGCTTAATGCAGTAATTTCTTCATGCAGGTGCTATCTTCATGCTGGGGACATAGACCGTGGTCTGAAAATATTTGAAGACTACATGAGTTCAAACAAACCCCCTATGGTAGAATTATATGTGGTGAGTTCTCAAGTAAACTTGCTTTTCAAGAATTAAGCCTAGCGAATTTGGATATGCGACTGTTCACCTTTTCAATGGCTATTTTAGTTGTTATCCACTCAACTTGGTTTATATTCTCCTCTGATCTCACATATTCTTGATTGGTATACTTATAAACCTTCGTATTTCCTACTCTAATTAAGCCCACTAGCAATTCTCCCCGTGCGATGCACGATTGTAAAAAGAAAGAAAATATATTATAACCAAATTGTATTAAAAAAATAAATTCACATCGATGTATGTAAGAGAGATAGAGGGAGAAATAGTTAAAAAAAAATACACTACTATCCGAACGGATTATGATTTTGCTAGAGAATTTTACAAATTTGTTTTGCTATGAAAGCCATTAGAGAAAAAAAAATTGGAAAATAGGAGATGAAAAAAACACTAATGATTAATTTAAAAAAAATACAAATAATCATTACGATTAACATTGATAAATGATATGCAACTTTTCTTTGTCTGCAGACACTTGCAGAAGGAGCAATGGTTGGATATACACCAAAGGGCATGCAACTTGCTCAAGAGACTCTGGTGTGTAATGGCTTGCTAAGTGTCTTTTTGAACCAGGCTTTATTATTATTATTTTTGGGAAAACAATTGAACTATTTATTTATATTCATTGTCGGTGAATATTTTATGTCAACATATTTCTCGTTGATCATCCAGGTTAAAATGAATGGTCGGGGATTGTTTTTGAGTTTTAAAATGGCAAATGATCTCCTCCTTGCTGCCTCGGGTGAAAAGGTAAACCAATATATATATAAATAAAAATCAAAAAAAATTCTGCGACTGCAAATCCATTTTTAGTAAAACTAATAATTCCGATATTCTTCCACAGACTGGCGGGTATACAGTTGCCAACTTAATATGGGATATGATGCAAGCTCGAAAATTGATCCCATCACTCCCTGCTGTTGATGCATATCATGCCGGTTTGAAAGTGAGTCTTTCATTTTTATTCGGACTTTATTTTTTTTTGTTCTGTCAGAAATCTGTGTGCTAATTACCATATTACCCTTTCGATTTTCTGTGTGTTTCAGGAAAGAGAGATACCCGAGAATGATCCTCGATTGATGTTAGTTTCCAGTACGCTGAACAATCTTCGACTTAGAGTTGGAACTGGAGGTGGAAGACCGAATTAAATCAGTTGGAAAAAATAATTGTTTAGACTAGCAATTTACGCAGATTTGAGGCATTCTTTTTTCCTGCTATATTTATCTACCTTCTTTTATTTACAATGTTTTTGTGGCAGAATAAATCTGTGGAGCAAGTGCTTCGTTGCTATTTACTGAATGCTGGAATTTTGTAGATGTTATACACTGAGTAGCGACAACCCGTTCGTTATTTACATTTTATCACGCGCATATACATATGGACATGGAAACATAAATTCAATACATGCTTATGCACGCGAAAAGTAGCATGCATGAGTGTAGGATAGAATAGATGTGTTTTCTTACTACATTTCAAAAATCATACCGAAATATATCATGAATTAACTCGACTAGGGAAATGGTTTTGCCATGAAGAACTTCAACTTGGGGCGAGCAGCAAGTGACAAATCACACAAGGAATTACGTACAATGTTGTGGTATGCTGGAGTGTTCAACCAATCTTATATCTACTTACAATTTTACTATAAATGGCTTTTACTTTTCCCTTCTAACAAAAAAAAATTATTTGGAGGTTATACTTGAGCACTTCTGTATTTAAAACTCTGAGCTTATTTGTTTTATCAAATTTTAAAACTAAATTGAATGTCACGGAGTTGCCCTTATAGCTCAGTGGTAGAGCGTCAGTCTTGTAAACTGAAGGTCCGCAGTTCGATCCTGCGTGAGGGCAGTTTCTTAATATTGACAATTCTAATTAAAGTTTTTTGTAGTTTATATTGTTTATAAAACATAACACAAAATGATCTAACAAATCGCCCTTATAGCTCAGTGGTAGAGCGTCAGTCTTGTAAACTGAAGGTCCGCAGTTCGATCCTGCGTGAGGGCAATTTTTTCAATTGTCTTAATATTTTTTTTTTAATATTTTAATTTTTCTGCAAAATAAGACATAAATCGTGTTCTTTTTTAATATTTTAATTTTTCTGCAAAAAATAAAACATAAATCGCGTTTCATCAGAATACCGTTATCACACTGTCAAAACCCTCCCAAGAACCCTAATCGACCAATTTCATATTTTTTTCATCCCCAATGTAATATTCTATAATTGATTCTGCAATTTTTTTTTTTCGATCGGAAGAAATGGCGTCTTCAGCGCTACAAAAACTCATTAGAAATCAATCCCATTCCGCCTCTAAAATCTGTTCCAATTTCCGCCAATCACTTCATCCATTACTGAACCAAATCCCTCAGATCTCAAGCCCGACCGATTCAGCTTCGTCTTCTCCGGATCACCCCAAAACGGATTCCCCCAATCCGAAAATCCATTCATTTTCTGGCCACGTTTTTTACCCCACTTTTTCTTTCGAGTTTTTTCTCAACCCGAATTCTCCATCCTCCTTATTTCGACCCGAACCCGAACCCGACGAGGAGACTGATGCGGACGATTCGAATGTGATAAGAGCTGATAGTGTGAAAAAGAAGAGGAAAAAGAAGATGAACAAGCACAAGTTGAGGAAGCTGAGAAAACGTCTCAGGAAGAAAACCTAGTTTCGAATTTTTTTTTGGTGAGCTTACTGTTAATTTATCCCCTTTTTTTTTTGTTACATTAACTTTTTTTATTGGGAATTAGTGTCGAGACATTCATTTAATTTTATTTAAAATGTTCGCATGATCCGCCATTGAAGGTGTTTAGTTCCTAGTCATGAAGAACATCAATAATTGTTAAACTATTTGTAGTTGCTGACAGAATCAAGGGGCTTTTAATGTTCATTGTTACATTGTTAATCAATATGTTGCAATCGGTTCGTTTATTCGTTATGGTTTTGAATTTGTGCGTATGGTGGTAGCACAATATTTAGGTAAATTTATTGTGTAATCGTGTGTTTTTTGGTGGAACTGATGAGCTGAATTGGTGATGATTTAGATGCGATTACAGAAATACGTTGACTATGATTTAGGAAACCGGATATTACAGGAATCAACCTAACTTATTATTGGGTCGAGTAATTGTCCGTGAACTGATATTGAGATGTGTAAGTGCTGTTATGCCCTTGTTTCACGTATCGTTTAACTTTCGGGAAAAGCTTTTGCATAATTTTATAGTTTCACATTATGAATTCAGAAGTATTTGTCTTTATGGTGGACATATATTTCTTGCATATTATGTAAGTGCATATTTTTCCGTTTTACATTTATAGATTTGATAGAGGCGTTTAGGTTGATATATTACTTCTTCAATTAGAATTACGGGATCTGGATACTTTTTCTCGTTTTTCTTCAGTTCAAAGTTCGTTGGTGTTGCGAATCTTGATTAGCAATTGTGTTGAGAGTATGTTGCCTGCCGATTTAGACCTTGAATTGTGTTGTGATTAAATGATTAGATTAATCTCCCATCGACAAAATTAACGACCACATATTCTCGACCACTAATTACATCGAGCACGAGTCGTCATCATCATATATATTGAAAATCTAGTACAACCTTTTTGTGGACTCTGGCACATGCTTTGTTCTACTTTTTATTATTTGATTGAAGTTTTCTACGGCTACATACTAACTTTTTGTTCATGTAATGATCTAATTTCTAAAGTCTAAGTGTGTGGAATTAAAGTAAAGCTAAAGATAGTTATTTGAATTTCTTGAAATTGTGTTTTCAATTTTATTTATTTATGTGTTTTCTTTTTGTCGAAAAGTGATATTATTGAATAATATTATATACTCGTGATATGGAATTAAGATATTCTTCAATGTTGTGTAGTAAAATGAATCTTATTTAGGGCGAGGCTTAAAATCAAATCAAATTATTCGATAATCGATTTGAGATTGTTCTTAAAAGCTCGTTGGAGAGTTGAAGGTGCACCGAGTAGTTCGACTAGTTAATATGTTGTGCTAATTTTTACTTTTATTATGAATTGTGCATTTTAGTAACATCAAATATTTAATATTTTTTTTTCATGAAATGCCAAAATGAAATTGATATTTTATTAGCAGGTTATATAAAATAGTTGCACGCGCAAGCCAAAGACCTCACACTATAAATGAAATAATAATTTCGGTTTTCAAATTATCAAATATTTAATCCATAATGAAGCTTATTTTACTATAATAATTGTTGGTCGGCCTGGAAAATTATTAGATGAATAAAATATTGAATAAATAGTAAATTGTCTTATTAATCAAATCAGTAAATAGTATATAGACTGATGATATTTGATAAGATAATCAATAATTCAATCAAAATTATGGCCAATGAAATAGAAATATATCTGCAAACGTGACAGAAGAACATTATTTAGTAGATTAGGCAGAAAACCAAACATGCCATGTGGCCATATATACAAATAAAAATAAAAATAATAAATAAAAAAAGAAAAGAAAAGGAAATTTGGAGGGGAGGGTAATTCGGTAATTCCCAAGTCATCATATCCCTTTCGATCATTGTCTCTGGAACAATAATACAAACACCTCCCATGCGCCATCAAACACTCTGAAATCATAATTTATCAAACCCCCAAAACACACACACACACACACACAGTAGCAGACAAAGGTAAAGGAGATTTCTACTCTTTGCTTCATTTTCAATTTCACCTTCTGCATTTCACAATTCTATTTCCACGGTAAGCAGCCACCATTGCATGTTTTTCACCCAATTTCCAGCAGTTCAGAGATCTCTTGTTTTTTTTTTTTTTTTTTTACTTGGGGCATGTGATTGTATTCGTTAATTACCAGGTGGTGATCGGAGAAGCGGAGTTGAGCGGGCGGCAGTAGTAAAATGGGTGGGATGACGTCATCGATGGCGGCGAAGTTCGCTTTCTTCCCTCCTAATCCTCCGTCGTACAAGCTGGTGCACGACGCCGCGACGGAGCTGCTGCTGCTCAGCCCTTTCCCCCACCGCGAAAACGTGGAAATCATGCGGCTGCCGACGCGGCGGGGAACGGAGATTGTGGCGTTGTACGTGCGCCACCCCATGGCGAATTCCACACTTCTCTACTCTCACGGCAACGCCGCCGATCTGGGTCAGATGTACGAGCTCTTCATCGAACTCAGTATCCACTTGCGCGTTAATCTCCTCGGGTTAGTCTCATCAATTTCCTCTCTCTCTCTCTCTTAATTTTTTAAATTTATTTATAAATATTAATCTCAATCAATATATTTATCAAATTAAATTATTATATCTGAAAAATATGATTAATTAAATGCTTCTTCTCTGAATGTGTTCAGTTACGACTACTCTGGATATGGCCAATCATCTGGGAAGGTATATTTGTTAAATCAGATTTTATTTATTTATTTATTTTATTATTTGTTTTGGAACATAATTAATTATGAATGTGGTATTTATGTTTATATTAGCCAAGTGAGCAGAACACATATGCAGACATTGAAGCTGCATTTAAATGTCTTGAGGAGAATTACGGTACTAAGCAAGAAGACGTAATCTTATACGGTCAATCCGTTGGAAGTGGTCCCACTTTGGATCTTGCTTGTCGTTTGCCTCGTTTACGAGCTGTTGTCTTGCATAGTCCTATATTGTCTGGTGTTAGAGTTATGTATGCCGTAAAACGCACATACTGGTTCGATATCTACAAGGTGTGTGTGTGTGTGTAGTTCCTATGTGTGATTTAAAAAAAAATAACGAAAAATCTTGCGTTTATTTGATCTGCTTAATGTTTAATTGATTGCCTTGCAGAACATTGAAAAGATTCCACTGGTTAAATGTCCTGTGCTCATTATTCATGTAAGTAATTACTACATTCTCTACACTATTTGCACGTTTCGATTCGGTTCTTGAACTTGCCTTTTAGCCTAAGAAATATCTACGACTCGTATTCGAATCTTGAAAAATTATTTAGTCAAGCTTGCATTTTGTTGTGAAGTTTAAATACACTTCTAAAGTCGGCCTTTTCCTTACGATTTTTACGAATTTTTTTAAATTCTTGAAAGTGTGGTTCAATGTGATGCAGGCTATTATTAAAACTAACCATGGTTAGATGAACTGTGATTGTGTTATTAGGGAACTGCAGATGAAGTGGTGGATTTTTCACATGGTAAGCATTTATGGGAACTGTGTAAGGAGAAATACGAGCCGTTGTGGATTAAAGGAGGCAACCACTGCAATCTAGAACTCTACCCCGATTACGTAAAACATCTCAGAAAATTTGTTGCTACGGTAGAAAGATCTCCTTCGCACAGAAAGAGTAGTCGTAAAAGTACAGACCAGTTGGAACCTTCTAGAAAGAGCACGGATATGTTTGATCTACCGAGGAAGAGCCTAGACAGGAGAGAGAAACCTAGGCCGAGTACAGACAAGGCCGAAAGATCGAAAACTCAGTCACAGAATGTTGATAAATTAAGGATTTCTTTCGATCCAATTGACCGGACAAGGAGGAGCGTTGATTGCATTGATAAATCGTGGAGGACCGTTGATCATCATCAGCTGGAACGGGCCCCACGCAAGAGCGTTGACAGTCTCGACAGAATTCTTCGTAATGGGTAATTTTTTTTTTCCTGATATTAAAATTTATGCATGAATATGGTTTGGTGAAGGGTATAGAGGAAATTAAAAATTGGGCTATTTTGTAAATGTGGATTTGGATATTTCCTATGAAGGCTATTGTTCCCTTTATCACAATGTGGAAATGGTTAAATATGCTGAAAATGTAGTTATCTAAGGCCTCATTTGTTTACATAAATCGGATTAGATTAGATTATATCAAATTGAATTGGATTAATTCTCTACTAATTAGTTAGATGTTTGGTTGATTGTATTATATTTAGTATTAAAATATGATATTGTATGTGAATTTTCAACAATATCCTCAATTCAACAATAATCATATCCTAATTAGAGAATTTATGGACAATGTTTTTTCCTTCTTATTTTGTCACTAAATTTAATTAAATAGTAGCCGTTAATTGTGCGGTTCAACTTTTACAACAGATTTCAGTTAGTTTCAATCTTGTCAACCGAACATGTTACAAAATCCTATTATTTAATCAATATGACTTAATAGCAATAACAAAACGAGGCCTAGTTAATTTATAAAAAAAAAAGGATGGAGGAGTAATAAAGAGAGATTATTTGAAAATTAAAATACCAATTACTATTACACAAGACACTATTTGTATTAGTTTGCAGAAACAATAAAACTTTAGCATAAGACACTCAATTAAATTTCTAGTTTATTTAAATTTGACATTAACAATAGCAATTGGTGGGAGACGAGCGATGCAGATCTCGTGAACTGTCGAGAAAAGTGGGAAAAGCTCCAACCATCCTCTATGGTTTAAAACCTCGTAAACCTCTTTTGCAGTAGAGACTCCCTAACAAATTTTCAAGACGAATTTTGAAGTTTTGTTATTATTTAAAAAAAATTGTAGTATAAGAATAGTGTACCTGTAATTTCTGGCCCTGTAACATCTCTGCTTCGAGCTCATCAAAAGACCTCTTACCACCATTCCTAGCAAAAGCCTCGGCACATTTTCTGTTTCTTCCCCCCACTGTTAATCGGGACGAATTTTATAAATTGAAAAAAGAATAATTAGAAATTCGTCGAAAAGGGCAGTTTTGATATTAATAAAATATTTTACTTACAGCAAGTTGTGATTAAATCTGCTACACCGCAGCTCTCGAAGAAAGTACTATCTTTGACAGAAGGAAAAAGAAGCTTCGAAAGGGCCATCATTTCTCTCAATCCAATTCTCATTATTGCAGCCTAAACTCAATAAATCACCATTTATATAAACAAAAATTTCGACTTTTCAAATTAAGCTTCAGAATTTCGTTACCTTTGTATTGTTCCCCATTTCCAATCCATCCACCAATCCTGTTTCATGACCAGAATAATCAAACCTTAAGCAAAACAAACTCGAAAAAACAAAAAACGAGAATTCTTGGCTCAAAACAAAACCTGCTGCAATAGCCACGACATTTTTCAACGTCCCACATAGTTCGACTCCTTCCACATCTTGAACCTATATGAAAACATAATCCGTTCGATGACATAAGAAAAATGTAAAAAAATCTTATTCAGTTTTCGAAAAATTAAAATTTGAGACGTGTATATTTCACTCACAGGTGAGACCATAAAGTATGAAGTGTTGAACAACTGAACCCATTTCTCAGCCATCTCTTTATTCTTTCTGTATCCGACTGTTGCCTCACTGAATTTTTCCACCGCAATCTGCAAATAAAACAACACGGAAAATGTATTAAATTACAATAAAAAAAATGCTCGTCTTAGCATAAGAAATCAATACAAAAAAAAAAAAAAAAGAAAACCTCGTTGGCAATGTTTGCGCCCATTAAAACACAGCAATTAATTCCGAGCTGTTCTGTGATTAGAGTAGATATCATGCATGGACCCTCTCTCTTCACTTCCATTCCTTTAATTAGAGAAATTGCCTCGGCATCGGCTCTTATTTTCCCCACAAGCCTTTTACAAATGCCTTCCATGAATTGATGTGGCGTCACAAATACTAACAAATTCGCATCCTTCACTGCTCGAATTTCCGAATTTCGCCAATTTAGAAATAAAAAAATATAAAACGTGTATATATTAAAATTTGGGGAAGACTAGTTATAAATGTATATTGTATAAACCTGCATTTTCAAGATCGGGATTTGCAACGACGTTTTTACCAAGCTTTACTCCGGGTAGGTATTTGACATTCTCCTAGAAAAATAATACAGCAGAGAAAAATATCAAATAAGCCTCTTTTATGATGTATGAATACTAGTCTATAATGAAGAAAATACAGAGAAATTGTGGTTACATTAGTTCGATTGATGACTTGTGAGAGTTTTTCACCAGTTGGCAGTGTCTCCTCAAATACCCACATACTCACTTCATCTGAAATTCAATAATCAAAGTCCCCAAAAAAAATAAAAAATAAAAAATCAAATGACACTAAAATTAGCTTTGCATGTTGAGCTATACTAAATTATATTATGCATATATTTTTTTAACAATAATAGTAATAAACGAGTAAAATAGAAAGTGAACATGATCATTGAAACTGGTTTGATGAATTCGTGTGTGTGTGTGTGTGTGTGTGAAAACACAGTAAAATTGAATAATGCGGAAATTATGAAAAGGGGGAAAATTGAAAAAAAAAAACCGTGGAAAGAATTGAGCTTGAGTGTGTTGGAAGCGATGAGTTTGGCAGCGACGCTTCCCCAATTGCCACTACCGACAACGGTGACTCTCGACTTAGCCGTCATTGTTTCGTCAGCAGCTCCTGCTCCTCCTCCGGCGGCGGCGGCGGCGATGTGATTATTATCCAGAAGAAATTGAGGCATGGAGAATGAAGAAAAATTGAAATGTGGAGAAAATGGAGATCGGAAAGGAATGGAGGAGAGGGAAAATAGGAAGGGAGGGGGGAATTAAAATTGGGAATTGGGCGGAGAATGCAAAGAGAGAGAAACAACTACTCGTCACTATCAATGCGTGTCTGTGTGTGTGTGTGTTAAATCTGGCGATCTTCTCTATATAACTGCTTCTACTGCTACTAATTACCCTTTTTTTTTTTTTTTTTTTTTTTTTTTTGCTATTTTACCTTTTGGAAAATTAAATTAAATTAATTAGTAAAAAATGGAAAATTATACTATCATTTTTTTTTTTTTAATTTGACATTGTTTTTTCCTCTAGATCACACTGGCGGACAGTTTTGATTTTAAGTTATGCTTTGAATTCTAATTAGAGAAATAAATATATTTTAATTTTTATGTTCTTAAGTAAATTTATAATAAACTAACAACTTTACAACAATAATTTCGATTAAGAAAAAACATTTTCAATTGATGATCACAATTGTTTACACTTGAATCCAAAATTAAATATATAAAATATTAAGCTCATACATATTTACACTCGATATTAAAAGATCATACATATTCTATAATAGACCACATATTAAAGGGTTTGATCCAGATCAATTTCAATTATTCTGGCCCATTAAGTAGGTTTAGTTTAAAGTAAGCTCATTTGGGGAAACAAGGCCCGCATAAAGCGGTCGCTCGCAAAGCAAGATGTCTGCGCGTAACTATTCGGGGGCAAGAGAAACAATGGATAACCTCCATAGCAGGAGCATGATCGACTACAAATTAGTGAGATATTTTGACATGTGACAACATTTAATGCATGTCCTATCAACTATCAGGTTCAGACAATGTTTACTCATTTTGGCATGTGCGGTTATTGCAATGTTCACTTGAAATGAAATAGTAAATATAATTGACGGGTAATTTGAAGTTCGAAGATATTTTACTGGAATGATTAGACAAATTTAACTTAAGTAAAGGAGTTGACGTCCCAACCTTCCCCTATACATACTAGACATTAGGAGCCATTCAAGGTAAGAAAAACAACTCTATACTTAGAAAATTCATTTTGGAAAAATTGCCAAGTTGCCCCTCTGAGTGTTAACTGCGGCCTAATTCCGATCCGGTCCAATCTTTTGCAGATTTCATTTAATACAAATCACAACTCCGAGCATATCAAGAATTTGATCCGATCAGGAACCATTTGACATTACCCTCCCGCATGCTAAACTAGAGAAAAACAACATAACGTTTGACAACTCAAACTCATCGTTATAAATACCCTAAACATTTCCCGTCCTCATTTATCATTTCTGGACATGCATTTATCATTTTCACTGACTTTAAAAAAAAATTGACTTGCTAATTATTTAAAAAAAATACTAAATGAACTACGTACAAATGGCAATAGTCGACTATAGTCATTTGTAGTCATATACATTCTTTTTACTTAAAAAAAATTGAAGCACATAATTAATTAATTTGTGGAGAGTTTGTATAATTCGTTCGAAATCCAAATTAATACACACCCAAACAACCCCTTAGTAAACCAAGGCCAAACTACGGTCATTATATTATCTCATACACTACATTAACCACAAATTATTAACTGTTATCTAAAATTGCACGTTGACCGTTAAAGAAAGTCAACAAAAAAACCTTAACCAACAAATTCTGCATGAGAGCTTGTCGTCCAAACATCCACCGCCATCTCCGCCACTCTCCACCGTATAAAACCCTCCCCACCGCCTCTCCCTTTCCTCATTCTTTTCTTCTGCATGCAGTATTTCTCTTCTAATAAAAACAGAGAAGTGCTGCATATTCGAATAAGAATCCATTAAATTCAAGAAAAGAAAATAATAATAAAAATGGCACGTCAAGCGGTTGCTCTAGCTCTAATCTTCATCGCCGTCTTCGGTGCGGTGGCTTCCGCCCAATTAGCACCTACCCATTCTCCGGCCGCCGCTCCATCCAAGTCCAAAGCCCCCATCTCCAGCGTCGCCGCCACCCCCAAGGGAGCCGCCGCCCAAGGGCCATCTGCTTCTTCCAACGCCGCCGCACCGGAAACTTCCCCCGCCGCCTCCCCCGAGGATGGCCCATCATCTGATTCACCCGTCGCCGCCGCCGACGGAAGCACCCCCAGCGAAGCTCCCGATGCATCTGATGCTCCCACGGCCGCCGATGTACCCAGCCCCAGCGCAGCCGCCGCTGATGCGCCCACCCCAAGCGACGCCGCAGCTGACACACCCAAGCCGAATGGTGCCTCCTCCTTGAAGATATCCGCCGCCGTCGGAGCTACCGCCGCCGCCGGATTCTTCTTCTTCTGAGTGTCCATTAGAATTGGGTCGTTCATCAATTCTTGGAAATATGTTTTGATTTTTTTGGAATTTGTTTGTTTGTTTGTAATCACTATATATTCATAGATATTATCTTGCGCGTTTTAGCAAATATATGAGGAAATCAATTAATTGCAGTATTTCATATCGATCCGTTATTTCTCTTGATCCCTCTTTTTAACCCCTCGTTTCAATAATTTATTTCATTCACATCCTTCATAATTAAAACAATGAAACTTTGAAAGTGGAATATATATATTCCAAGATGAAAAGATATTATTTTACTTCTGAATTCATGAAAATTTCAAAAAATAAAGTGACCGAGTACCGAGCAATAATAAAGTGTACCGAGCAAAAATAAAGTGACCGAGCACCGAGCAATAATTTTACCGCAACTGCAACATAAGCAACACTAATGGGCGATAGATTTCGCCTTTTGGTGCAAGAAATGTTCTTGTGAATTACTTTTTCCTATTGAACTATATTTACACGTAACTTTTTTCTTCTTTTTTTCTAAATATATTGCTTCATTTCTTTAACGATTAATTTTATTTTATGGCAATTAAGTTTATCTAATCTCGCGGAGTGAATTTGTATTATCAGATTTATATGAATGTTGATAAATTTAAATATCACTAATAAATTATATTATAATAGTGCAATATATTTTCTTATTATAATTATATTGTCATATATTTAAATAATTACTTTTTCCATTTTTCAAATGTTATCCCATCCATTGGGGGAGAACTATTAGTTACTTTAGAAAGAAGAAAGAAAGAAAAACATTACATGTCAAGCAACTTAATGATTTTTATTCTTGAAGAGTGGTTTAATTATTTTCAGACAATAATTAGCAACTAATATAGAATTTGATAATAATATATATTTTGAATATAATATGTATATGAATAAAAAAAAATATGTTTATATAGCATATTTATTAATATATTTGTATATGTACCTTTAATTAATATTATAAGTTTTTCCTCAAATTTTTGTATCCACATTTTTGGGATGTGACATTTTCATATGTTCGTTTTCCATTTTCTCATATCGCATTTTCCATGTTCGTGCTACACAGATCTTTACACTGGTTGCAAAATGGGTAAGACGAAGTAAAGTATAATTTTGAATCATAATCTTAAGCTTATAATTGTCTTATATAGCTAGTTATTATGCTTTAAACCTATCATTAATCTTATGATTTGATATGAAAGGCTAAATTTAGATAATAGGAGAAGATAAAAAATAAAAATAGAAAAAACAATGTTTTTTTTTCCATTTTTTAAAACAAATATTTCCATATTATTGTCATAGTGTACATTTCACTTTTCATTTCATGCATGAAATTGGACGTTGACCGTGGAAAAAGGTCAAAAAACTAATCTCATACACACAAAAATTGCTAATTAAAATAATGTCCACCAGTATTTCCCGCCATCTCCGCCCGTCCTCCGCCTTACAAAAAGCCCCTCCGCCTCCTTCTTCATTCCCTCATCAATCTTCCGATCCCTTTTTGTGCAGTGTTTCTCTAACAATTTAATTTGGGAAGTGCTGCAAATTCACAACCCAAAAAAAACACAAATTATATTACTAAAAATGGCACGCCAGGTTGCTCTCGCCCTCATATTTATCGCCGCCCTCATCACGGCGGTCGCCGCCCAAACTTCACCGACCAGCTCCCCTGCTTCCGCCCCATCTAAGTCAACCGCCGCCACCCCGGAAGCATCAGCCGCCGTCCCTTCAGCATCTGCCGCCACTCCCGAAGCAGCCCCCGTGCCGTCTTCATCCACCGCCGCCACGCCGGAATCCTCCCCTGCCGCCTCCCCCGAGGAGGAACCCTCATCTCCACCCTTTCCCTCCGATGAGGGACTCTCCCCTGACGCCTCCCCCGCCGAATCTCCGGCGGACGCTGTTGCTCCCGCCGCTGATACTACTACAACGGCCGCGCCCGCCCCGAGTACTGAAACCCCAGCAGCTGACACACCGGCGGCCAATAGCGGTTCCTCCCTGAAGGTGTCCGCCGCCGTCGGCGCCACCGCTGTCGCCGGATTGTTCTTCTTCTGATTAAATATTTTTAGATAGTTTATATCTTATGTTTCTATATATATATTGATCAAGGAATTATTTTTCTCCTTTGATCTTAAATATTATAGTTTCTGCATTATGTACTAATTAAATGTGATCAATAAAATATAGATTCCATTCGACTCTCGATTTATTTAATTAATTAATAATTAATAATTATTGCACTCCCGTTTACGTTCGCTCCACATCATCTAACAATTTACGATCTCCTTGTGTACAGTTGTCGGATATCGATCAATTAAATTAAATTATTGATCCATTAGTTTAACTCGATGATATATATATATATATATATATATATATATATATATATATATATATATATATATATATATATATATATATATATATATATATATATATATATATATATATATATATATATATATATATATATATATATATATATATATATAATAGGGTAAATATTACAACCACCTCCCTGAGGTATGGTCAATTTACGAAAAAACTCCTATTGTTTGGATAATTACATATACCCCTTAACTATGAATTTTTCTTACACATCCACCTTTATGGTGTCAAATTCAGCACAATCATCTAGATTTCATGAAATGTGCTCTAGTTTGTACTCGATTTGTGCAAAAATACAGTTACTGATGCATCACAATATGATATATACAAGCCAAAAACATATATTATGATCATCTTGTTTCAAAATGTGGAGTTCGAATGGGATAAAACGGGTACAAAAGTGATTATATTCTATATAATCCAGAAGATTCCACTAAATTTTGTAGTTGAGGGGTACAGTGGTTGTAATTACCCAAACAAGAGGGGATTTTCGTAATTTGACCATATATACCTCAGGGTGGTTGTAATTTACCCTATATAATATCGTATCGATCTCTAGATTAAGTTTGTTACGTACGTACAATTGAATTAGCAACGGGTTCCTTTCCTGCAATTGAGTGCACCTGCAGAAGTGGTGATTGTTCCTACAAGAGAATACGGCCTTGCGCTTAAACTCGAAGCCCTTGCATATGTGGACCCCGTCCCCGACTGCTGGAAATAAGCTCCGTTCAACATTAGGTCGCCTTCCGACCTCCAATTCCAACGCCTCCACTCACTTTCCGGCGCATCCTCATGTTTTGTCACCTATACATATTCATTTCTTATTAGGATTCTTAATTAATGTGTATTTATCTTAATCGTCACTAAAAAAAATCGAAAATACTACCTTAATATTTATGTGGATAGAAAAGGATCATTTAATTAATATATTTTTAATATATACATATATATATATATATATATATTGTAAATAATCATGTGTAACATCTAACTATCCGATAATATACCTCTTTTCTGAATCGTAGATTAGGTGCAAGAAACCTATTTCCTTGGCTATATATAGTAGGAGAAGCACTCCCACCAATTGCATACATTTCCCAATGGGTATAATCATTATTTACAACATGAAAATAACCATGCCTGCACCTGTGTATTTATCAATTTCTCAACGAATTAATTAGTATTTAAAAAAAAAAACCTCCTGAACTTAAGTTAAATTACGAAAAATACCCTCACGTATCCGTAATAATCAAAATTCCTCTCTGATTAACTGAGAAATAAAAGAAAATATTTGAATTTTGTAAAGTCTGTTCCCTGAATTCAAAAAGAATCCGTGAAAAGTCACACCGTAAGGCGTTGATGTAAGATTGAAAAAAAACATTAGGGGTTTTTTCATAATTACGAATAGGTGGAGTTGGTTTTTATAATTTAATCTAAGTTTAGGGAGTTTTGGTAATATAATTTACCCTAAAAAATGCAAACTAAATAAATAAAATGATTAAATTAAAAAAGAATATTTAAAAATACCTAGGCATCCTCTGAACTAATCCTTCTCCAAAATGATTAAAAGCAATAGTAACCTGCATGTTCTTATCCTGCACGTAACCATCATTATGCCCTAACAGCATCACCTTATCGTGATTAGTGAAGTAATTATTCGAAATTGTGATTCCGGTGGAACCGTGAATCGCATCTATAAGCCCGTCGGCGCAGTTCGACAGCGAACAATGGTCGATCCATATATCCCTCCCGCCGAAGATGGCGACGCCGTCGCCGTCCGACTCCTCCCACCACCCCGCATGGCGGGGCGAGTCCCTAATCACGGCGTTCCCCGCCTTCACGCAGTCGTGGATGTGGATCCCGTGGAGGATCACGTTCGTCGCGTGGTGGATGGTGACGCACGCGCCGCCGGCGATGTGGACGGTTGCGCCGCGGCCGTCGATGGTCTTGTGGGAGTTCACGACGAGCTCCTGCTTGAGCTTTATGACCATGTCGGCTCGGAAGATTATCCATAGCGGCTCGAATTGGATGGCCGCGTGGCGGAGGGTGCCCGGTTTCGGGTTGACCGGGTCGTCGTTGCCCGAGTCGGTCACGACGTACGTGCGGCCGTCCCTGCCGCCAACTGCCTTCTTGCCGAAGCCGATGGCGCAGTCGGCTAATCGGCGGCGGCGGGTCTCCCAATTGGGGTCGCACCGCCAACAATCGTCGATTGGGTTGCCGGTTGAGCAGGAGATGTAGCCCAAGTTCCTTCTCGATGCATTGATGCTCCTTCGAAAAAATAAATTCGAGTTGTTAAATTACAAAAGCGTCCTCGATAATTTTTCTTATTACTAAAAACCCTCTATATAATATTTATTACTTCGACTAGTAATACTTGAAATTTTTTAATATGTTACTTACTGTTGTACTTCTCGGACCGTAATATCTGGATCATGACGAAAGGATGAGACGAGGATCGGAGTTGCAAGAGTAATTAATATTAACAAGAATAATAATAATTGAGACATTTTTGTAACTTATTAATTGATGAAAATATATGATATATAATTTGGAATTAATAGACAAATATATAAAAAGGGACAAATTAAAGCCGTAATAAATGGCGTGATTTAATTGGGCAATGTGGGGCTCCTTTTGTTTTCAATTACTAGAGTTCACATCTTCTCGTGTTTAATCAAAGATATTTTGATTTGTTTGTCAAATAAATTCGAAAACTATTAATATTTTATACATTTGCAGCATATATATTCACGGTTATATAACTATAAAAGACCTATATTTCAAGGGATAATTAGTGAAAACCCCCCAATTCATTTACTTATATAAGGGTGGATATAACCTCTTTTTCATTATTAGTGAGAACCCCCTACCTTATATTAAATAATTTATTTTTTAATTAATATTATATTTAACATTACTAATATACCTAATTTATCCTTCTATGTTATATTTAAAATAACCAAACCTATTTTACGTTATATCTATTTCTCTTATTTCTCTCTCCCTTTTCTCTCTATAAACCGCCGTCTCCAACCCTCCCCATCTCTGCGTTGTCGATGCCGCCATCTCCAACCATCTTCCATCTCTGTGTCGTCGTCTACTCTCTCCCATCGGCGTTCCTCCCTCCACCGCTGCGAAAAGAAGGCGGTCTCCACCCCTGGAATTCTCTCGTCATGGACGGTATTAGGGTTTTCGGTAGGGAGAATGACGAGACTATGCAGCGGCGCTAGGGTTGATATTGCGTTTGAGATTTCAATAGAGACCACCGCCAATATTATTGGATTGTTGTGGTTCTTCTTCTTCTCTGATTTTTTTTAACCCAATTCTCGAATCTCAATTTTCTTAGTTGGAGATTTTGGTTGAATTCTTATATTGAAGGCTAATTTTGTGTTCAATCAATAGTATATTGTATGTTTGTTTTTTGTTGAAATTGTGTTGGTGTTATTTACAGACATATAGTTGTTTTCGTACAGTAATATAGTTGTTTTCGTACAACAATATAGTTGTTTTCGTACAGTAATATAGTTGTTTTCGTACAACAATATAGTTGTTTTTACTACCTTTTAGTTGATGTTAATAAATAGTTGATTTAACAAATAAAATAGTTGATTTTGATAAATGAGAGTTGTTGGAGATATATAGTTGTTTTAATAACAGTTGTTTAATATAGTTGTTTTTAACATTAGTTGTTTTAATAATAGTTGTTTTATTGAAATATAGTTGTTTTAGCTTAAGATAAAAAAAACACTAAAAAAATATTTTTTAAAAATATAATAGAAAGTTATAAAAAATATTTGTTTTTAAATATAAATTTTTAAATAAGAAATATATAAATAAACGAAAATTAAAATTAAAATATAAAAATAAAAAGTGCATCTAAGTATGGTATAATATGTAGTGAATAGAGGAAGGGTAAATTTGAGAATAAAAAAAAGATGGGTCTCTCACTAATAAAGGAAAAGGAGCTAGACCCATGCTTATTAAAATAATGCTAGAGGGGGTTCTCACTAATAGTCCCATATTTCAAAATAAATAATGTGCTGCATGCCCAATTGGTGGTGAAATATTAAAGTCAACACCACTAACTGCGGAAACGACTTTTTGACTTTCAAGTTTAAGTCATCATTTTGTTCTAAAGTATACATTTCACATTTTGTCAAATAATTGTTTTTGAGTAAATTCAAGTTTTTTACGAGAGGAAGTATATGGGAATTCGTTTCTCTAGGTTTCACTCGACTTGGTAAAGAAGAACACTCCGACGATTAAGTTAGTATATATTTAAATATGTAGGATGAAAGATTTATAAAGGAAAATGTATCGAATATCTAAGTTTTGCTTCTAGTTATACTTCCCTCTTATCGGATTCCAAACCTATCTCTCAAAATAGATTGAATTGTGTCACCTCTCTGATCATGTTACATTGCCACACGTTCCATGGTAATCCGGACAATCATCATCATTAGACTGGCCTGATAGTACCTTTTTTTTTTTAGTAAATTCAAGTTCATTATAAGGGAAAGTAGGGGAGGGGGGGACTACTCGAACCCTAGACCTTTATCATATTGGTAAATGTTAGGTACCAACTCTCCTAATGAGGGTTGGTGCCCGAGAGTACCTACCACACCTCCAAGTCTGCTTTTAGGTGACGTCTCTTGGTACGGAGTTACGGCCTCTCCCTTTTTCTACCGCGGGCAGACATCCCAACATTAAATGTTAGTGTCAGTGCAATAACAACTGAATGGGTCAAATCATTAAATGCGCCATCCATGGTGACGACCTGTGGACTCGGCATTACTTCTGATCTCGATCCATCAGCAGTAAATTTGAAAGGCGAGCCTTTTAGTTGGGCTTGCCGCCTTAGGACTGACGAATTTGGTCCAAAATCAATTGGATTTTATATAAGGGTATGGTAAAATTAAAGATTTGATTTGCATAGGAAGAAATTGGACTCATAGTGAAAAATTAGAGTTTTTATTTGGAATGGCCCAAAAGAAAACCCCAATGTAATTTGTTTTTGTTTTAGCCTCGTGAAGGATTGAAATTTTAATAGGAGCTAGCCTTAAATAGGCCCAACTTAGGCTTTGTTATAAGGTTAATATCTCCAAAAATTGTATTATTAAAATAATGCACTTATTAGCTTTTACTGGTATTTTTACACGTGATTGGAAAGTGGCCATTAAAAACACATCAAAACTATCACGTGTCTCTTGTTTTTTTTTTATCTACATATGGGGACGGATAATCTACGCGACTACACTGAATGAATTTTTACCGTTGTTCTGCACATCAATATAATGTGGATGTGTGAGTGTTTGTGTGTACATGTATGGTAAAGATCTACCCAATAAAGCGTAGAATAGACCACTATATTCGTTAGGAATAAGAGCTATGGAGAGACAATTACTTCCTTACCCTAGTTCGTGTTATCGAGATAATATCTCGATAACACGAACTTGACTTGTTTATATTAATTTAGATAAAATCTCATAAGGGATGATCACCTAACTGTTGAAGCAAAAGTCATGAGCTTGTGTTATAATTGACCCTAGTTCGGATCTCATTGTCAACGATTGCTAGTTAGAAATTTTCACACGTCGTAAACTTAATGTAATTTACATGTCTTGTATAATTTACAAGTTATTATATTTGAGCATAAATTTACCCGATGCACATATATAGTTAGTTGCGGCTGATTTTTTCATTACCAAACAAAAAATAATTAATAATATATAAAACGAGGTAGATATTTTGTTTAGAAAGGAGATCAAAAAAATTGGAAAATCATCCAATCTATCAAATGAAATCTAGAAAGCAAAACCTATCTTGATCACAAACCAATAACACGGGTCCACGTGGCGAGGGAAAGGTACTACTCAGCTGATGATCGTCTTCCAGCGGGGACAATGAAATATACACCCAACCCCACAAAAAAAGCCCCTTCACTTTTTCCACACTTTTTCCAGACTCTACTACACTACACTAGATTGTTCCCCAATTTCCACACCGGCGAAATTCCGTCGCCGATCAAAAATTAAATCCACCGCCGATCGTTTCCTCCAATGAACAATAAACGCCGCCCTAAAGCTCGCAAATCTAGAATTAAGGCTAAGAAATCCAAGTTCCTCAGCCTCCGCCTCCAATTTCCGCCGAATGAAAGTACTATTAAGGACACCAAACCGGACGGCGGCGTGCGACCTAAAGCTACCGCCTCCGCCGCCGACGACGACGCTGCGGCGGCTAATAAGTACTCGCCACAGCTCAATTCGTTCCCGTTCGACACGGAAAGCCAGGTGGAAGAAAGAGAAGGACACGATCAGGAGAACGTAGCCTTATTTTTCTCCGCCGCTGACGGCGGCGCCACCACACTCACCGGACTTCTCGACAGCTCCGCCGCCGCAGAGTCCAATTCGTCCCACAATTACAACGATAGTTCCAGGTATATATGTATATATATAATGATCGAACCGCGGGATTCGATAACTTTGTAAAAATGTTGGATTAATCAGATCCGAATTAATTAATTAACGATTTTCGGTACTGGTTGCAGGGTGGACTATTTGTCGCCGTCGTCGGCGTCGCTAACGTACGCATACGGCGAGGAGAGGGCGGCGCTAGTACGGACGGCGCTGAGGAGCAGAGATCGGGATTCCAGCGAGGATAAGTGGGTGTGCTACTCGGAGGTGGTCGAAAGGAAGAAGGTGATCAAGGAGGAGGAAGTGACTAGCAGCTCCGCCGTGGATCTGCGGCCGGGCGACGGCGGCGGCAGTGCAGGAATGATGCGGCGCGTGTCGTTGAAGCTGGATTACGATGAGATAATGAACGCGTGGTCGAACAAAGGACCGCTTTACATCGACGCAGATCAGAGTTCACAGATCGTTCCCGACGTTAACCACCACCATTTTCTATCGCATGATCCTTCATCCAATTACGTAAGTTTTATCTCTATTTTTTTTAATTATTAATTAATCACGGTGTGTTTGTCATTAATTTTGTTAATTAAATAAGTAATAATCACCCACGTGAGTTTTGAGAGAGAGTAATTAATAAAGAATTCCCCATGAACTTTAATCAAATAGAATTCAAGTAGTTTGATTTTGTTTATTCATATTTTATTATTAATTTCCTCATCGAATTCGAGTTTGAGCTGAGTTTCGTAGGTTATCATATACGGAAAAGAAAACATCATCAATTAACATATATCTAAAATATAGAGTCCAATTTGATGAATTATGTCATTGAAATGCCTACACTCGGTTAAATACATCGGATGGTTTTTAACCATTGATGTGGTGAAATAATTTTTCACTAACCACACATACACATGTGCAGATCAACGGTTAATAATGACCCGATGTGTTTCACCAATATATTATCAAATAAAACCCCTTGAACATGAATATTGAAGGTGGGCAATAAATGGCATTGACCCTTTTTTTCGTGTTTGGTGTTGCTATCTTTTTCAATTAAGGGGTCCATTACAACTAAGTGATTAACACAATTCATGAAATAATTCCACTTGTATTATATTGTTATATATCGATTGTTACAAACATTAGTTTATATATAATATATTTACAACAAATAAGGAAATTCAAAGTTACATGAATAAAAGGGAATTTTTTTTATTTTTATGGCTAAAACTCAAGATATTGTATTTATTCAATTCTATGTTAGAAATTAAATGAATTGAAGGGGTAAATGGTAGTGTGGTACCACACATAAACTTAAACTCGTTTCACGAGTCATGGGCTCTCCCTTTAGGTATGGTTGGTGTTACAATTTCTAGTGAGAAATTGATTACATGCATGAGAAAGGTAAGGTGGTGTTGGATATTTGATGTTTGTGTATGTGCATTTTCATACAAGTTCGTTTGAATTTCTTTTATCGGGCTTTCAAAGTTGCGTCTAACGTCAGTATTCAAATTTGGTTCGTTTGGCAGGGAATTAGGTGGGGATACGGTGGTGGAGGGTTGTGGGCAGTACCGGAAATGGTGGGAGAAATTGCAGAAAATAATATTAATAATAATGGTGAAATAATGAGAATAAACAATAACGGAGAAGAAATAACGAAGACGATGGGGCAAAGAGAAGCGAGTGTTTTAAGGTACAAAGAGAAGAGGCAGAATAGGCTCTTCTCAAATAAAATTCGTTATCAAGTTCGAAAGCTTAATGCCGAAAAACGCCCTCGCCTCAAGGTATATTAATATCTTTCTTTTAGAAAATAATTATTTTTTATCATGATTGTTTGTTTATCTAGCTTTTTTTAGTAATTAATGGTTGGTTGAATTTGTTTTTGCAGGGTCGATTCGTTAAGAGAATTTTGAAGGTTTGTGCTACACTACGGGCAAAATATCATTTTCTACTCGAAAATAGTGTTTTATTTAGTATTTATTTTCACTAGTATATATCACGTGTGTCAATAATGTGTGTGACGTGTATTGGTGAAATAAAAATGGATAATGAAAAAATCATGTT